ATTCGCCGAGTCCCTGTACATGGTGACCATGTTGTTTCGCATGTGGGCTACGTCCCACAGGACTGGGAAGTAGTTGGATACCTACTACAGGGGCCGCTAATTGGCCCTGCCCTGCGTGACGCCCACCACGTTCCGGGCTAAGCCGAAGTTGAGAATCGAAGTACGAGTAACACGAACGAGATTCAATTATTTCTGATACTAGAGCTTTTTATTTTCCATATTCTTCTTCGATTCATTTCAGCTGTTCAGTCAGCCATTGGTAACATTCGTCCAGCATCCACTTCCTCATATCTAAGAAAGCGATCATCCTTTACTTTATTTTACAGCATACTATTTATGGCATGGTATGCTGGTATGCTGGTATGCTCTCTACACCGTAGAGAGTTTTGAACCCCCTTAGATACAGTCTTCGATCAAGAGAACGGCTCCTAAGGGGTGCACGCTTTGGTGAAAATTATCACCACTCTTTTTTGTGCTCTGTATTTTCCAGCAAGGAAGCATCCTCGTACTTCTGGTGCTTATACTCAGAAGAAACAAAAGAGGAAAACCAACTTAATATTCTAGCAACATTCAATTACTTCCCTCCACGATCTCCACGCGGCAACCCAATCCAAGCCAATTCCATGGAAACTTGAAAGACGCAAGAAATGATAATGAGTAATTACGACTAAAGTGATTCATAATTCCCCAGTTTATGTTCATCAATCGCAGGTTGATGCTCTTTCCGGTCGATTTGCTACATTTTATGAGCTCCGACCATTCACACCCATTCATTTCAGACATACTGCTCGTTAGGTCTGCAATCAGCTCGTTTCGCCAGTGTTTGGATGCGATATTGATTGATTTTATGGTTTATGGGGTACTCAATGGTCCCTCAAACGGAGTGGGATGGCGAGCGGCTATCGGCTTTCGGGCCAACAAATTTGTGGAAAAACTATTGCTCATCTTATTTGAACGGATCCAGAGATTGGGAGATGGATCGGCATCGCCATCGGCATCGGCATCGGAATGACATCATCTTCCACGTCGGCATTGTGAATGAAATCAATCGCATGAATGACCTAATAAAATACAGCAATAAATTCCATGAATCAACTACAGTGGAAAATTGCAGTCTATAAAATTCCCAATGCACGGGCCCCCCGCTGCATAGCCCGCACCACATCACATGAGTGTCGCCGGGTGAAAGGGTGAGAGCACGGACTCGGACGCGGACTCGGACTCGGACTGGGGCACATGGCAACGCTGCATTTCATCAGAAACAGACGCGGTGTCGCCAGCCGCCAGCCTCCAGCGGAGGCACAATCGCCAACATCATCACCCCCAATCAAACCCTATCCGCAACCCAATCCCTATACCCATTCTCATCCCCATACTCCACACATTCTCAATTAGACGCTTAGCATCGGCAACGGCATCGGCATCGGCATCGAGTGACGTTGACGCTATGTTAATTAATCAATGGAAAATGCCGTTTCTCTCTTAATCACTCTTAAATGGTTTGACACCCACCCAACCCAACCACATAGACAAACACTCGCCCACCCAACACCCACCACCTAGCCAACAGCCAAACCATCGCTGATTGTCTGTGAGTTACGCATATTCGGAAATTGAAATTTGTTTAAATCATAAGACCCATGTGATCTTTGATCCGATCCGATCCGCAGCAAAAAAAACAGGTTCAATAATTATACTCTTCATTTTCAGACCAAGGACACAGAATGCAGAATGCTTCTGCATATTTGAAAACCACATTGCAGGAAATACTTACGTTGAACTCTCTTCATTGAATCAATCACCTCAGCCGTAGTGGATACGGTGGGTGGCCCCACCAATCCATCGATTACGCATCGGTTCCTGCGGTTTTAGTAGTTTTATTTTTGGCTTAATTCGCCAATGTTTGTTTGTTAATTGCCCGCGGCGTTGGCTTCCTCGGCAACGACGCTCTCGGCGGATAATTGGGGGGAATATAACAATTTCGGGCAGATTACTCATACGCCCGGTTGTCCACTTTGCTGTTACAAGCTTGTAAAGCGCCAGGGGCCAAACGAGTTTGGGTCTGGCTCACTACTTTTACGTACTCATACTCGTACCCTCCGACTCGATCGTTTCCTCCTGCCCATGCTTTTTTATGCGTTTTTGATGATGTGTGATATATGGACACGCAATGAAATGGCAAACGGCAGCAGAGCCACAATTATTATGCAAATGCGACGTTTTATTTTACGAGCCATAAAAAAAAGAGACATGGCAGAAACATTGTGTGTAGGCAAATAGAAATGGCAGGCAAATTAATTGAAGCTAATTACAAGACAGCATCCAGGAGGTAGAGGTGGAGGTGGAGGAGGAGGAGGGGGAGGCGGAGGCCAAGATTACGACCACTTGGACCACACGTGCTGCTGGAACTGATGACGGAGATGGAGATGGAGACGGAGATGAAGCCAAAGCTGTAGCTCGGTCTCTGGCTGGGGCTGTGGGCACCCGGAAGATGATGCGGCAGATTTGCTGCTGCCGACAGATAGTTGGCCCTGCGTTGATTAAAGCAAGTTGCAACAATAAATGCAGTTTCATTGAAGTTAATCAGCCAAGGCAGTCGCTGAACTCGCCTCCAGCCACCAGCCTCCAGTCGAACAAAAAAACTACACAAATTAAGACGAAGTGAAGGCTATCTGCGCAGCTTGAAGATACAGATACCCTTGCGGATCGATTGCTCAAAATATCGCCCAATATCATATGATTCAATTCTATATTAGGCTATAACTTTAAGGAGGAGAAGCTATATTCTCATTTTCCATACTTCAGAGTAATGCTATCTTTACAGGCAATAAATAGAAAGATCTTTCAGATATATTGAGATATGAGAAACTAATTTTTAACGAAAAATCATTATACTCTTTGAGAGGGTATTACAAATTGAATGAGGCGTGCGAATGAGATGCTTTGCGGGGCGAAGGGGGTTTGAAAGAGGGAAAGTAGGGGTACTCTTGCAGGGTCAATCTTTAGCATATCTTTTGTTCGAACTGTGAGCGGTTGTTTTTCATTTGATTGGAATTTATCGCTCGCCGCTTGCATATTTATGCTCTTGTCAAGCAAACCACATCTGCCTGGCCCCCACCGAACCACCAGCCAGCACCACCCAGCACCAGGCAGCACCACCCGAGGGAACTGCGACTGCATTAAGATGAGACAGACCGATAATGACATTTGTACCCGTCCTCCTCGCTGTGTTGTCTGCCATTTGAATTGGAATTGAAATGACTTTGCTGCAATGTCGTTGAACAGTCGAGCCCCGGATCGAGGGCCAATAAATAAAGTCACATTTGCAACTGGGCGCCGTCAAAGAGCAGAAGAAGATGATGGTGAGCAATGGGATCGATGGGGGCAAAAATCGATGGTGACAGCGAAAGAAGCTTTCCATAAATTCGCAGTAAGATCCAAACGGATCGTCTAGCTTGCAGCCTATGCCTATGAGAGGCCTTCTTCAGGTTTCCTGGAAAACCGAAACACCCAATTTGGCTGATGGCTGATGGGAAACCCATTGTTTTCCGAATGAATCAAGCTGAATAAAAATAACATAGTTAGCGAGCAGGCGAGAAAGGGAAAGCCCAGAGAAAGTCTAGAGGCTTTGAGTAGAATAGAGCCAATAGAGCCAAATCTTAGCTCAATTACAAGTGCAATGGATGGCTTAACTTTATTTTATATTCCAATAAGGCAATGCCTACTCTTTGCGTATGATTTGTAGCCGAAAAGGCGACAATTAGCAGGCTGTGGAATCGCTTAAAAGCAGACTTTTGAGCACCAAAAATGTGCTACAAAAATATTGTGTAAAATATTCAGTTCACATTTATTTTTCAGTGGGTCGAAAAGCAAATGAAAAATACACAAAATACAATTTTTTTTGTTTGACATTTTAAAATGGGTAAGTTTAAATATTCCAATGATATAAGTCCAATAATAATGTTTGCAAAAAGCTTCCCAGTTTGCTCACCTGGGAATGCCACTACCACCACAGTTAAATGATTTATAATAACGTTGGGTTTCCATAATGGAAAACCCTACCCTACACTCCTACTCATGGCCACATTTGTTTAATCGTTTCTTTAACATGGGTAAGTGAAAATATATTCCAATGAAATAAATATAATGATAATTATTGAAAAATTTCCTCAGCATCCCCTACTTATGGCGGAATTTGTTAAATCGTTTCTTAAACATGGGTAAGCGAAAATATATCCCGATGAAATAAATATAATGATAATTATAGCAAAAATTTTCTCAGCATCCCCTACTTATGGCGGAATTTGTTTAATCGTTTCTTAAACATGCGTAAGTGAAAATATATTCCAGTGAAATAAATATATGATATAATGATAATCATTGCAAAATTTCCTCAGAATACTCGCTTCCAATAGCCCGCTACCAAATGCTACACGGTATGGACACCTACTAAACTACCGCACCTATTGCGGTACCAGGTCTGGGATATTCGATGTCTTCCACAGAGACGACTACATCTTCATTTGCGGCTGGACCGCAATGATAGAGGATACAATACAACTTTTATGAAATTTTCCTGCGTTCTTGTTATTAATAAATAAAATAGCATTTACTTTGAAGTATTTCTCTATGGGTTTGAGGGATGAGATGTTCCGAAACTAAATGTCCTATGTCGATGACATATGTATGTTTCCATAGCTACTGAATCTAAGGCTATTCGTTATCCAACAGACATCGTTCTCAAGAAGCTTTCTCTGCGTTTGTGTTGTTGCTTGCGAGGGGTTCCCTCAGTGCTCGAGGGTTCATCGAAACACATAAAATTCTCACCCATCCGGTGGGACAAGCCGAAAAGGCGACAATTAGTAGGCTGTGGAATCGTTTAAAAGCAGATTTTTGAGCACCAAAAATGTGCTACAAAAATATTGTGTGAAATATTCAGTTCACATTTATTTTTCAGTGGGTCGAAAAGCAAATGAAAAATACACAAAATACAATTTTTTTGTTTGACATTTTAAAATGGGTAAGTGTAAATATTCCAATGATATAAGTCCAATAATAATGTTTGCAAAAAGCTTCCCAGTTTGCTCACCTGGGAATGCCACTACCACCACAGTTAAATGATTTATAATAACGTTGGGTTTCCATAATGGAAAACCCTACCCTACACTCCTACTCATGGCCACATTTGTTTAATCGTTTCTTAAACATGGGTAAGTGAAAATATATCCCAATGAAATAAATATGATAATTATTGCAAAAATTTCCTCAGCATCCCCTACTTATGGCGGAATTTGTTAAATCGTTTCTTAAACATGGGTAAGTGAAAATATATCCCGATGAAATAAATATAATGATAATTATTGCAAAAATTTCCTCAGCATCCCCTACTTATGGCGGAATTTGTTAAATCGTTTCTTAAACATGGGTAAGTGAAAATATATCCCGATGAAATAAATATAATGATAATTATTGCAAAAATTTCCTCAGCATCCCCTACTTATGGCGGAATTTGTTTAATCGATTCTTAAACATGCGTAAGTGAAAATATATTCCAGTGAAATAAATATATGATATAATGATAATCATTGCAAAATTTCCTCAGAATACTCGCTTCCAATAGCCCGCTACCAAATGCTACACGGTATGGACACCTACTAAACTACCGCACCTATTGCGGTACCAGGTCTGGGATATTCGATGTCTTCCACAGAGACGACTACATCTTCATTTGCGGCTGGACCGCAATGATAGAGGATACAATACAACTTTTATGAAATGTTCCTGCGTTCTTGTTATTAATAAATAAAATAGCATTTACTTTGAAGTATTTCTCTATGGGTTTGAGGGATGAGATGTTCCGAAACTAAATGTCCTATGTCGATGACATATGTATGTTTCCATAGCTACTGAATCTAAGGCTATTCGTTATCCAACAGACATCGTTCTCAAGAAGCTTTCTCTGCGTTTGTGTTGTTGTTAGCGAGGGGTTCGGTTCAGTGCTCGAGGGTTCATCGTAACTCATAGAATCCTCACCCATTCGGTGGGACATGCCTTTCTTGCACTTTTTGAACTTGTCCGATGGCATGAATGGAATTTCTTTGAGCCCCGTACAACCCATTAATGTTTTGTTGACCCCCAAAGTGGCAAAATGCATTCTAAAAATATGAAAATATGCAGAAGGAAAACGGTGCTAATGGCCTTAAGTGCACCACGATCTGTGGCCGATCGATCTTTGGCTTTCCGCACCGCCACATTTCCACTCTGCCACTTTTCCACCGGTGCAGCGCGCTCGCTGACGGCGACTGGCGGCGTACGTGCGCTCGTGCTTGGACAGAGCTGTCCCACTTGAGGCCACTGTACTTTGCTTTTTCCCATTGTGTCAATTAGAAAACTATCAGCGGCAAATCGGTGATTGGTGATCGGTGATCGTTGATCGGTGGTCCGTGGTCGGTGGGAGCCGGTGGGACGGCTGACAGCAGCATTTGGCCAAGTGCCGATTGGTCATAATTTATGCAGCGATGCAAATATTTTCACTAGGGGACGATCAATCCACTCCAAGCCGATCCGATCCGATCCGATCCATCCGTCCATCTATCTATCCATCCATCCCAGTCGGACTATCGATCACCCGGCCACAGGCGACCGAGGCGGACCAACCCCGAGAAATGTCAAATAAATAACCCAAACAGGCAATAAAAATACAAGACGGAGCGGAGCAGGAGGCCAAGGAGGAGCCCTCGAGTGGAGGTGCAAATGTGGGCACTTTAATGAAAACAATAAATCTTCATCACATCACATCTCAGCGAATCGATTCGAATCGAATTGAAACGGAGAACGGAGACGCAGAGCAATCAAGTGCCCAGAGGCGTGGGAGCGTGGGGGATTTTTGACTGACTCCATTTTCAAAATGAGAATATATGACAAGAAGCAAAGGGTAGAGGACATCACTGGTACACTCTTTGAGCGATTCTGTTTAGATCAGACTGTCTGATCGGTGGATAAATGATATGGATATATATATATATACACAGGGATTCGTACAGAAGAAGCGTGACTGAATCCGACACGACCTGAACTCCCCTCTGGTCCCTCATCCATTGCATTTTCTTTACACTACGCATCTGCAACAGTTGATTATTTATTGAGATAGAAGTGCACTTGTAAACTTACACAAAACGAAGCTCGTCAATTTATGGAGCTCTCGACACCCCGGATACCTACCCCACTCCCCCACTCCGCCGCTCCACCTTCACCGCCCCTCTGTCACCAGAGGGCAGGAAAATTGAAACGGAAGCACAAATTTTGATTAATTGAAATGGAAATACAAAACAAAAAAGAAAGAGATACAAAAAAAAAACAAAAGTAAAATCCAGAGAGCCAGAGGTGTGGGCGTTGGAGGGGCAGGCACTCACGTAATTGGTCCCAGGGTGGGTGTGTCCATCTCCGCCAGCGGAGCAGATCAGCAGAAGCTGCCAGAGGGGCAGCATTGGCGTCATCGCCCCGCCACTGACGCCAAAATAGCCGAGGGGGAGGGGGAGGGGGAGGAGGAGTAGGAGGAGGCTGTTGTCTGTGCGGCCGCTTCTGTTCGATTTTTGAGTTGTCAGCCAACGATTATGCAATTTATTTTCATAAGTACGGGGCCCCATTCCCATTCACATCCCCCATCCCCATCTCCCATCCGCATCCACCATCAATCCCCAGCGCCATCCCCAGAGCGATGAATGTGCCCGCCAAGGTCGCACAGTCGAATGCAAATCCATCGATATTCATTCCGGCATTCATCGCTGGGTCGTTTGTCAGTCGAGGGGCAGTAGAGAGTCTCTCTCTAATTGAAGAGACCTGAGTTATGTACCGACCATTATCGTCGCTTATCGATGAGATCACTTCCCTTCCCAATAGTGGCGGAGATAGCGATCTCCGCTGCGGACTTGCATCGGGGGCCTTATCGATACAAACCGATAGCCGCTAAGCGATCACACCTCACACCTCATGCAGGGTTTCGGGGTATCCAGTATCCACCACACACGTGATTTTCATGTTTTCGCTGACTTATTTATTGTTTGTTGATGGAAATGCGGGTGTGGTCACAGTCACAGTCACGGTCCCAGTCCCAGTCCCAGTCCCGCCCTAACCCCCCGGGCACGCGCCCACACATCCCAGATGGGAGGCGGTGGAGAGAGTGGGGAGGGGAACGGCGAGATGGCGACAATTGGCATTCACCGTCGCAATTAATCATCATCACCGTCCGATTGACAAACAAACCAGAAATAAATCAAAATCAAAATCAAGACCATAAACGACAAAGGCAGCAAATTGCATCGGCCGAGCCGCCATATACCCATATACCCGTACTCGTACTCGTACTCGCACTTAGAACCCATGCCACAACATCGAAACAATTCATCAAATATGCACACTGACATAAGTAAATCAATCAATGGTTATGGCTATGGCTATGGCTATGGCTATGGCTATGGTCCCCTCGGCCCTGGCTCTGGCTCTGGCTCTGGCTCCGGTCCCTGGCCGCTCTGGTATTCCACTTCCAGAGAACGTGGCTGGCCCGTCGTAATCCTGGACGGGGTGCAACGGGGCAAGCAAGTGCAAGAAGTCCTGACACCACCAGATGACGCACGTTTCACGGCACCGAGGAAAAACCCGACCCGGGTATGATTCCCGAAAAATAAGAAAAAGAGAGACCAACACAATAACCGATTGTTGTCCATTATTGTTGGAACATGATGATCTAGAAACGAGAGGTTCTCCTCGTATTATTCTCACGCATCCGCTGCGACCATATGGGTTGAATCTGGCGGAAATTCCCAGTGACAGGTAGAGCAGGTCGATGTCGATCCAGGTCCAGGTCCTGGTCCAGGTCCCGGCCTCGGATCCGAGCACGGACTCGGATTTGGCTATCGCGGCGGCTCGCAACGCCCGCCAAGAAGCCAATTTAAATAAGCAGCATAAACAAAAGCGACAACGTTTTATGACCACCTCACTCGTGGTCCTTTTTCGGTCCCTGGTTCGGGTCTATGTCCGTGGCCGTGTCCTTGCACAAGATCCCGATGTTGCGCCAAGCCAACCGCACAGGTTCGCCCGCCTGCCAGTGGCTGGGCTTTTCCCACGCCGACCGACGACTGACGACCGACATTGCCCATCGCTTATCTGCGCCCCTTTTATGAGGCTGCATCTGTTTTCGCACTTTCTGTTTCGCCTGATTCGGTTTTATGTGGTGGGAATTTCCGTATTCCCATCCTACCTGTTCGACTGTCTGTCTGTCTGTCCGTGTGTCTGTCCGTGTGTCCTGAACTCTGAACTCCCACCGAGCTTCAGAGAAGGTTTCCATATAACTGATTGAATACTTGATATAATAAGAATTCCAACGATCTGCGCGGAGATCATCTAGGTTTTTCTTGGTATGGATACAAAGCCACAAAATTCAACGGGTTCAATTCAATTCTTCCACAAGGGTTTGTTGCGGGATCAATTGGGATCTACGGTTAGAGATCATAAGAAATCAAGATCCCTTGGATTTGAATTGTATTTTGGGATGACTTCAACGCCTTTCTGTGCACAATGCACGGATCTCCTTATGATAGGAATAAACAAGGCATAAAAAAGTACATCTTATAGGTATATTACCACCGATCGATGCAATTCCATCAGCTCTCTCTATTTTGGGGATCACTTTATCCCACAACAAGGGACAATCTTTTCAAACACATGCTATTTGGCTTGGCTTTGCCTCTGATCCCCCAAACAGACGCAGATCTTGTCAAGTTTTTCGTTACCTGAACTATGGAAAATTCGATCTGGAATGCGTAGATGATTTGGCTGATCTACCGATTGATATAATCTCTTTTGTCTATAAAACAGCCCACACCAAGATTCAATCGAAATCCCCTTGTGAGAGACCGATCGGACTTTTATGATCGATACCAAGTCCATGTCCATGTCGATGTCAGTCATCCATTTGTGTTGTGTGTTGGCTTCTAATGCCTTAAACCCAAATCCATTTCAGCCTTTGACCATATAATCCAACAGCTACATCATACATATATGGCACTTGAAAGCACCCCGTCTGCATGCCAATCCCCATCCCCATCCCCATCCCCACCTCTGCGATCGCACTTGTCGCTGGCGCTGGCGCTGGCGCTGCCGATGGCGCCGGCGCCGTCAGGGTCGTCAATTTTGAGCGACATCTCGTATTGGTAGCGAAATACGAATACTCGTACGATACAGGCACACAAATGTACACATAGTATACAAAGCCCGAAAATCAAACAAGGGAATTATTTTGGTGGGGGGAGGGTCGAAACTATAGGCGCCAGACGGGCATTAAAAAAGAAACAAAACCGAAACGAAACGAAACGAAACCAAAGAAATAAGAGGAAGGAAGCCAGGGACAGAGACAGGAATTGGCAGAGGGAAGCGGGATCTGGAATGGGGATGGGAATGGGGATTGGTATGGGGAAAGGCGCATTTCCACATTTGTTTATTGTTGAGAACGATTCGGCTCCGGGTTCTTCGGGATTTAATGGTTTTTTTTTTGGCCAAAAGCAACAACAGCCACTGCCACTGTCTGGCAGCCTTAATGGCCGAGATATCCAATTAATGCGATTTACTGGATCCGTTTTTGCATTTCGCACTGACTTTACGACTGCGGATATTAATTAATTTGTCTATGCGGCTCTCCGAGATGGGAATGGGAATGGGAATGAGGATGGGAAATATCTGAGCAGAGCGATCGTGTTCTCCACCCAATCCACCGGGCAGTCCAATCCCAGTCAATGCCATTAATGTGGCCATAAACCAAATGC